TGTCTTCTTGACATTGAGCCTCAGTCCATACTGAAGGCTGCAGTCCTTGACCCTTTGCAGCAAGTACATGAGGTCCTCCTCAGTTTCAGCAAGCATATACATACATACACATAAATATACATATACATAAATAAACCTATACATACATATATATTATATACACACATACACACACACAGTATGTATACACAATTGTAGGTATGATTTATATATACAAGTTATTTATATATGGCTTCTAAAAAGTCAAAGTTCAGAAAAATACAGTCAATTATACTTATATGCAAAGAGGGGTATAAAGAATGTGTACTTAAAAAAAAGAATATGTACTTAAGTATCACTTATGGAAACACAGAACAACTCTAAAATGAGTCTTAACAAATGACGGTATTAGTTTGAGGAAGGAAGGAATCTGCGTATCTAAGAGATCTTTTTGGTGGTGGTTGTTAACTTTAGCTTTTAGTTCTTTATATATAAAAGGAATGGATAACTTATTCAAAATGATTAATTTTTTGAACAGTGCATTTTCAGTGTAATGTAGAGAACAAATATCTTTCAATCAGCAGTGCTGGAAGAATTGGCCATCCATATGCTCCCCACCCTCCCCTCAAAAAAAGTCACTTTCCATTCTTTATGCCAGATATAAAAAATTAAGCCAGAATAATTTTATTCTAAAGTCTTTGTGATATTGGGATAGCAAAGACTTTTTAGTTTTGCCATTGAAAACCTTATTTATATATGTAGAAAAAAATAACTGAAACTATAAAAATTAACAATTTCTGTTTTCTAAAGATGTTAAGAGAATGAAAAGACATATTGAGCAAAAATATTTGCAAGTTACATATATGATAAACGACTTGCCTTTGCTGTTGCTGGTGATGGTGGTGTTAAGTCCTAGGGGTAAGGAGCTTCACTGCCAACCCAAAGGCACGTGGCTCGAATCCACCAGCAGCTCGGCTGGGGAAAGATGAGCAGTCTCCTTCCCATGCAATCTATTATTTCTTACAATCTGCTGTAGGGTCAGCTATGAGTTGGTTCTGACTCAATGGCACATAACAACAGCAACAGTGATATCTGCATTCTGTCGGATTACCTTTCATTGGAATGAGCACAAATATGGACTTCTTCTCATTAGTAGGGCAGGTATCATTATTCCAAATTTCTGGGTATAGATGAATGGGCACATCGAATTCTGCATCCATTTGTTGCAGCATGTCCGTTGGTATCCTATCAAATCCTGGAGCTGTGTTCTTCACCAATGCCTTCAGTGTAGCCTGGATTTCTTCCTTTGGTAACCTTGCTTCTTGATCCTATTTCTTCCTGAAATGGTTGCACATCAGCAGATTCTTTTGGATATGACTTTGTGTATTTCTTCATCGTCTTTTGATTTTGTGCATCATTCAAAATTTTCTCTATAGACTATTTCACAATTGCAACCCATGGCTTAATTATTTCTTCAATTCTTAAGAAACACCAGTTGTATTTAACTTTTGGCTGTCTAACTATGTTGTTGTTATATGTCATTGGGTCACCTGAGACTCATAACGACCCTGTGTATAACAACCCAAAACCCTGCTCTAACCTGTGCCAATCTTATTGTCTCTGACACACATACCCCCATTACCCAGTCACGGAATCAATCCATCTCATTGAGGGTTTCCTCTCCTGCACTGTCCCTCCACCCTCCCAAGCATGACATCCCTCTCCAAGGACTGGTTCCTCCTTGCAAAATGTCCAAAGTATGTCAGACAGAGCTTCAGATTCCTTGCCTCCAAGGACCAGCCTGGCTTCACCCTCTCCAGGATGAACTTGTTTATTCTCCTAGCAGTCCATGGTATATTCAGTACTTTCCTTCTATCATCCCTAGTCATTGTCCAGCTTTCTGATACATAGCAAGTAATTGCAAAGACTATGGCCTGGATCAGGCACACCTTAGTCTCCGGACTGACATCACTGCTCTTCAGTACTTTGGAGAGGTTCTCTGACAGCAGACTTTACCACTGAAATTCATCTCTTCATTTTCTGGATACTGGTACCAAGAGTTGACTGTGGAACCAAGCAAACTGAAGCTGTAAACAATCTCAATCTCTTCATTGTTTATCATGATGCTGCCAATTGGCCCAGTGCTGAAAATCTTTGTCTTCTTGATATTGAGCTTCAATCCATATTGAAGGCTGTAATCCTTGACCTTCTGCAGCAAGTGCTTCAGTTTCTCCTCAGTTTCAGCAAGCAAGGTTGTATCATCTGCATAACAAAGATTGTTGATGAGTCTTCCTCCAAACCTGATGCCACATTTTTCCTCATAGAACCCAGCCTCCCGGATAATCTGTTCTGCATATAGATTGAAAAGGTATGGAGATAGGACACATCCCCAGTGTACACATGCTTCTCAGTTTTGATCCATGCAGTGGTCCCTTGCTCTGTTCTGACCACTGTCTTAGGTCTTTGTATGTTTCATTACAGTACTTTGCTTTGTATCCTTATCAAGCTGCCCTTTGAAATCTTCTGTTAGTTCTCTTACTTCATTATTACTCTTGTCACTGTCCAGTTGGAACATATTTAGAGCTGACCTTTGAAGCTTTGTGTTTCTGAAGATGTGAATTGTGTTTCGGTGATTGCCCATCTTTCCCTCTTGGAGCCACTAGTGGATTCGAACTGACAGAGAGCCACGGCTTCTGCACAGACTGTGCCACAAGAGCATTCTCATTACGGAAATGTAAGTCAAAACCACAAGAAGATATCATTTCTCTACCCACTTCATTAGAATGCCTATGATTTACAAAACAGCAGCAACAGAGAATAACAAGTGTTAGGAAGGATGTGGAGAAATGAGAATCCTCCCAAGAATACAAAATGATGCAGAGTGTGGAAAACAGTGCAGTAGTTCCTCAAAATGTTAAACTCTACCCTGTTACCTGGTCATTTCCATCCTAGGAATATATCCCAAAGAATTGGAAGCAGGAGCATGAACAGAGACCTCTTCATTGTGGCACTATTTACAACAGCCAGAATGCTCATCAACATGTAAATGAACAAGCCTCATGAGGTACATGCAGTGGGATCTTACTCAACCGCCGAGAGAAATGAAGTCCTCATACCTTCTCAAACGTGGATGAACCTTGAAAGCATAATATTGAATGAAATAAATCACAAAATTGCAGCTGTGTGAGCCCACTTATAGACAAGTATAAAGACACCAAAATTTATTTTTCATTACCAAAGGAAGAAAAGAAAGAAAAAGGAGTCTTGCTTAAAGGACACTAAGTTTTTGGTAATGAATCAGATTAAATTAATGGAATAATACAGATTAAAATTATGTATTTGTCACATGTTTTGTTATATATTTTTACCACTATGAAAAGAAAGTTTTAAAGATGATGAAACAAGTCCTATAGTCTAGTTACTCTCACAGTAATATACCGATGTCAATTTCCTAATCTTGATATTATGACAATATAAGATGTCATCATGAGAAGAAGCATGGTGAAAGGTACCTTTGAGTCTTTGTTTTTACAGCTTTCTAAAAGCTTATAATAATTTCAGACTTAACTGATGAAAAGAATAATATTTAAAATAGTAAACTGATCATTTGAAGCAATCAAATAAGTATACTAAAAGTGTTTAAGAAACATAAAATTCCAATATTTCTAATAAGATCCTTCTGCAGTAAAACTACTTCTTTACTACTATGTAATATTTATTCATCTTAGTTTTATTACACTTTCATGCATTTCAATTATATTTTCAAAAAGAATCTAGTTCTTTGATAATGCACTTTGGTGAGGTTTGCTCATGTTCATTTATACAGATATTTGGTGATTTTATAGCTGACAAAGTTCCTTTTATATATATATCGTAGTAGATAAACATTTGATGGAACATTTCTAATTAGGTTTCTAAACTGCTCTTGTTCTAATTGATGACTTATGTGTTTGGGGAAAGGTGAAATCTGTTCTTGAAAAGAATGAAGAGGATCTCTGTGTAGCAATGAAGACCCGTGATGCAGCCCTGAAAGAGAGTCAGAAGTTGAAAGAGGATCTTGAGGCTCTGGAGGAAAGAGAGAACAAGAAGGTAATGAAGGCATCAGTCCTCGTGAGAGTCTGTGATTGAGAGGAGCCGCTTAGGAAGTCTTTTATGAACCAGATTTCTTCATTTCTTGTAATTTCTTCTTCTTTCAGAAGGAGGATTAATCAGAAGACTTTTTTTTCCAAAAGGGAAAATAACTAGAGTACTTTAAACATATTTCCTTTGCAAGAAATTTTTTTTAGCATTTTCCCAAAGGTAAAGCTCAGAAAGCAGGAAAAATTAGAATAGGAGGTTTAATGGAAATGAGAATCACAGGAATAAAGTGGGAAGAGTGCAGTTACAATATGGGTAGTATAATTAATGTCATAAAACAAATTGTGTATGAATGGTTGAATGGAAACCAAGTAGCTTTGTAAACTTTAACTCTAATCCCAATAGAAAGAAAAATAATTACATTATTTACTTCTCAATAACTACTGAAATTTTTATCTTAAAATAGTCAAAAAGTCCCAATTTTTCTGTTGAAACAAATATGACTGGTAATAACTTACCTGAAAAAAGTTTCCACTGAGGAGATTCTGACTCATGGTCACACTGTATGTCGTGGAGCAGAATGGTTTTCCAGTGTCTGAGTTTTCAGAAATCGATTACCAGGCCTTTCTTCTGAGTTGCCTCTGCTTCTGAGGAGGCTTAAACCTTCACCTTTAGTTCAGCAGCTTAGTTCATTCATAGCACCCAGAGATTCCATAACCTTCCTCCTTATGTTTTATTAGTGTGACTGGAGATCTGCTGGCCTACTAAGTAGGTGCTGCCAATCCAGAGTGGGTGGTTCAAATCTACCTGGTTCAGGGAACAAAGACAGTCTCCTCTCATGTGAATTACAGCTTCTGAAAACCTGCTGAGGGGTCATCTATGAGTCGATTCCAAATTGATGACAATGAGTTTGAGGATTTTTTAAATATGATTACACTTTCATCTTAAATTGTCACTAAGTACTTTCTACTTAGCAATTTATCAGCTTAGTGAGAACAGAGATCTCTTCCTGTAGAATGACATTTGTATAATCAGAACCTGTCTAATTTCATGAGGAATAATGCAAATCAAGATCAGCCCAAATTAGATCTCTGAAAGATGAAGGTCAGACATACCTCTAGTCTCCAAGCTTTTTACTAATTCTCATACCAGCCATCCTCCCCACAGGATTCTCTACTGTTCTGCTGGCTGTGATCATTTGTTGCAATGGTCATACAGAACTTACAAACCATACTTACAGCTGGAAGAAGGGGTGGCATCCACTTTCTAAATAACATGCCTCCAGAAACTCTATGAACTATTATAAATGTTGATAGTTGTAGAGGGACGTCGGGCCTTTTGTTCATAGGGTCGCTAAGAGTGATGCTCGACTAGAAGAAAATCAACAGCAACAGTGAAATGGTTTATTATGAAACTAATAAACTAAAAGTTACTCAATGTCAACATACAACTCAGAATACAGATCAGGAAACACATAGACAAAACCTTAGTGGGTCGCTGGAAGAGAACACATCCCTCCCATCTTCAGTGCATGGCAGCCCTCTCAGCTCCTAGGCCATACTAGCAAGCAGGCCTTTCTATCATGCATATCCTTGCTCAGCTGGGCATACCTCCTCCCAACACCCTCAGGACAGGCGTCCTTGTGGCCCTGGTCCTGAGAGTCTTTACAAGAGGATATTGAAATAACCTAATTCAAAACTGCCATAGAATAGTCAATTTCCCCCAAGACAGTTGTAGCCCCAGTGGAAGCTCCAATGGAAGGTCAGCTATGTGTCAATTCAGACTTACATTAAGTTATTTCCAGATTAAGCCTGGAAACACCTCAGGACCCAAGAAATTGTTGATCTTAGTGTCTCCAGTGATAATAGCAGAGTAGCACAGTGACATGATAATGGTTGACTAGCACTGCAGAATTACTATCACTGGAGTTGTGGCCTAATTTTCTTTTTACCAGAATCACAGTAAGTTAACAAATAAACTAAAGATAATATATAGTTTGACTTTTCCTAGTGGTTTTTTGGTGTTGTTGTGTTAGGTTTTTTTAATTGTGCTTAGGTCCTATCCTCCTTTTTCTAGGATCTCAGAAGTGAGACAAGAGCTATTAAGGAGGAGCAAATATCTTTTTCTTGTTTCTTTTCAATAAAGGTGGGAAACTTTCAGCGACAATTAGCAGAGGCTAAGGAAGACAACTGCAAAGTTACAATCATGCTGGAGAATGTGCTGGCTTCTCACAGTAAGATGCAAGGTGCTCTCGAAAAAGTACAAATAGAGCTTGGGCGGAGGGATTCAGAGATTGCAGGCCTCAAGAAAGAAAGGTACCTGAGATGATTTTTCTCTCCGTGATACTGTACTGCCTTGTCTTAAGGAGCGATGTACACAAAGGAAAGGAAGTCACTTTACACTGTTTCCTTTGTGAATGACTAGTCCTCAATGTAGAAATAAACAGCAAGTTAGGGGAGATTTCAAATTAGAAATTGATATCATTTTCAAAAATGGAAATTTTAATCTAGTGATGTAAGACTATGTATCTTAAAAATCCATTAAATATATTGTGGTGTTACTCTTACTGTTTTTCTTACTATTTAATTTCCTTACTCTCTTTGGGACTACAGAATCATAGTTGTCAAGATAACTGAGGTTAACCACCTACTTTAGTTTGACATAATTGTTCATCTGTTAAAGCCTCTTTCAAGGTTAAGCATTATCTTAGAAGAATCATCCTAAGAACTATATCTAGCCAAGTTTAAGAAGGAAATTCTTTTGAGTAAGTTTCAAAGACTGCGCAAAAATTTCCCTTTTGTGTTCTCAAACTTTTGGTTCTAGGTTAGGTCAGGTTTCAGACCAAAGTTTAATATGACCTTTAACAGTATACTGTAATATGTATATTAATGGTGACTTTTGCCTCTATACTATAGGAGAACAAATGTATTTTATTTCGTCACTGTTTTTATTTGCTACATGACAAAAGGGTATTATCTTTGGATTTAAAAAAAATAGTTCATGGAAATTATATTTAAAATAATGGTAACATTAACGGGATAGCAAGTAATAAATGTTAGTCAGGATGTGCTGAGATAAGAATTCTTATATGCTGTTGGTGGGATTGTAAAATGGTACAACCACTCTGGAGGAATCCTCAAAAAGCTGAACATAGACATTCAACTTAGAATAAACCCCGAGAAAATGAAAACTGAGGCACAAATAGGGACTTGTACACCAATGTTTATAGCAGCATTATTCACCGTTATAAGAACATGGAAACAGCCTAAATATCCAACCACAATCAAATGGATTGAAAAACTATGGTACATTCACATGACAGACTACTATACAGCTCACAAGAGCAATGATTTTGTAAATTACTTCTGAACTTGGAAGAGACTGGAGAGCATTATACTAAGTAAACTAACTCAGTCCTATAAGGACAAATACTGTATAAGACCATTATTGTAGAAACACATAACTAGTAAAACATGTATGAGAATGTAAGGTGGGGAGGGTGGGAGCAGATTGGTGAAAGAATGGGCAGGAGGTGGGAGAAATCATAGGGTCATACAATTTGATGGAGAGAGGGAGAGATGGATTAAGGAAATGGAGGGAAATCCAGTTTGAAAAACAATATATATGAACTTTGTAAGTAAACCCGTACAAAATTTTTAAAATTTTATAAAAGTGAAGCAAACCACTCCATCTCCTGCAATTAAAAAAAAATGGTTATATACCATTGTTTGCAGTCAGAAACTGATTGAACATGCAACCAAGATGCATTAGAATAATGGATGACTGGAATGCGAAAGCTTTGAACCAAAAAGAAGGATTAGTAGTCAGAAAACATGGATTTGATGACAGAAATTAAGCTGGGGATAGAATGTTAGAATTCTGCACAATTATTTATTCATTGCAAATACTTCTTATAAGAAACATAAAGGCAGGTTATACACATGGATGTCAGCACAGTAATCAGATCAGTCCATTTGTGGAAGCTATTGTTAGAGAAGTTCATTGTCAGCAGTAAAAACTAATCCAGGTGCGGATTGTGGGAACAGACCATCAACTATTCATGTGTAAGTTCAAATTAAAGCTAAAGAAAATAAAATCATAGCAAGGAATAAAAATTTTATCTTGAGTCTATCCCCCCTGAATTTAAAAACCAACTCAGGAACAGAGTTGAGGCCTTGAACACTAATGAACAAAGACCTGATAAACTGTGTGAGGGATATCAAGAATACCATCTAGGAATAATGTAAAAAAGTCATTACAAAGACAGAGGAAGACGAAGAAAAGACCAAAATGGATGTCAAAGAGACTCTGAATATTGCTCTAGGGTGCTGAGAAGCCAAAGCAAAGGCAAGAAATCAAGAAGTTAAGGAGCTGAGTAGAAGATTTCAAAGGTCAGTTCTGGAAGACAGAGCAAATGTGAAAGGATCTGAAGTTGAAAAATCAAAATGGCCAAACGCACTCAGCATTACTTAAGCAACTAAAAAAACAAATTTAAGCTGTGAGTTGCAATACTTAAGGATGCTATGGGTAGGGTATTGAATGATCCAGGAATCATTTAAAGAAGATGGAAGGAGTATACAGTCTTGAACCAAAAAAATTAGCTAACACAGAAGAATTTAAAAAAATAATTCATTATCAAGAGATAATGGTGATAAAGGAGAAAGTTAAAGCTACTCTGAAGGATTTGGCAAAAAAATAAACCCCAGAAACTGGTGGGATGGCAATTGACATATTTCAACAAATAGATACTGCCCTGGATGTGCTCACCAGGTTGAGCCAAGAAATTTGGAGAACAACTACCTGACCAATTGACTAGAAGAGATCCATATTTATTCCCATTAAAAAAAAATGACCCAACAGAGGGTGGAAATTAACAAACAATATCACTAATATCATATGCATGCAAAATCCTGCTGAAGATGATCCAGGAATGACTGGAACAGTACACTGACAGAGAACTACCGGAAGTACAAGCTGGGTTTAGAAGAAGAGGTTGTGGCACTACAGACATTATTGCCAATGTCAGATGCATCTAGGAAGAGCAAAGAGTACTAGAGGAATGTCTGTGTTTCATTGACTATGCAAAGGCATTTGACTGTGTGGATCACAACAAACTGTGGCTTACCTTGAGGAGAATGGGAATCCCAGAACACTTGATTGTGTTTATGTGAAACCTATACGTGTACCAGGAAGTAGTCCTTAGAACAGAGCAAGGAAATACTGCGTGGTTCAAAATTGGGAAAGGATAGCATCAGGGATGCACCCTGTCTCCATACCTTCTCAATCTATATACAGAACAGATCATTTGGGAGGCTGAGCTTTATAAGGAGGAATGTCGCATCAGGATTGGAGGAAGACTCAACAACAACCTATGTTATGCAAATGACATAACCTTGCTTGCTGAAACTGAAGCACTTGCTACAGGTCGTCAAGAACTGTAGTGTTCAATATGGATTGAAGCTCAACATCAAGAAGACAAAGATTCTCACCACTGGGCCAATTGTCAGCACCATGATAGATGGAGAAGAGATTGAAGTTGTTAACAATTACAGCTTGCTTGGCTCCACAATCAACCCTCTTGGCATCAGCAGCGAGGAAATCAAAATACAAATTACGCTATGTGCTGTCAGAGTACTGAGAAGCAACAATGTCAGTCAAGACACTAAGGTGTGCTGGATCCAGGCCATGGTCTTCACAATTACTTGCTATACATCAGGGAGCTGGACAATGACTAAGGACAACAGAGGAATCAATGCCTTTGGGTTGTGGTGCTGGAGAAGAGTCTTTAACAAACCATGGACCTTCCAAGAACACAAATCGGTCTGTCTGCGAGAGGGTGAAACTAAGTTTCTCCTTGGTAGCTAGGATTTTGAAGCTCCATCTCACATAGTTTGGACAGGTGGCCAGGAGGGACCAATCCTTGGAGAAGAACATCATGATTGGAAGGGTGGAGGGACAGAGAAGGAGAGGAAGACTTCAGATGAGATGGGGTGATACTGTAACTAGGGCCATGGGTGTAGGCGTGTCAGAGATAGTGAGACTGTCTCAGGAAAGGGTAAACTTTAAAACTGTTGTACAAAGGGTTGCTATGAGTTGCAGGAGACTCAATGGCACATAACAACAACAATAACAATAAAAATCAAGGTAGCTATTGTATATAGAAGTAAAGTTCTCAGAAGAAAATATCCATATGGAGATGATATATACTGATTTTTTTTCTAATAATGATATATTGTTACTGGTATAAAAATACTTAGCTCATAACGTTAGCAATATTGAGAGTATTGAGAGTGCAGTGTATTAAGGAAAATTAACTCATAGAAGAGACAATTTGTTTAATACCTAAGAACCCTAGTGTCTTAACCTGAAGTTGAGGCTACTTACTACTGTCATCTGCCAACTCTTGGATAGTCTATGCACCTTTGAGCTACTGTATTTTTTTAAGATAGATATTTGTTGTCAGGTGCTATCAAGTTGAGTACAACTCATACCGACCCTATGAACAAAAGAGCTGAACCCTGTATCCTGTGCCATCCTCACACTCCCCAACACACAAGAGACCATTGTGGCAGTCACCATGTCAGTCCACCTGGTTGAGTGTCTTCCTATATTTCACCAACCTTCCACCTTCCCAGGATCAGAAATATCACCTCCGAGTAATGTGCCCAAAGTATATAAGGCAAAGTATCACCATTCTTGCCTCCAAAAAGCACTCCAACTGCACCCCCTCCAAGACATATCTTTTTGTTCTCTTGGCCATCTTTGTGATGTTGCGAGTACATGCT